TCCCCTGTAAGGGGTCCCGGGCTCCAAAAAGCTTCAAAAGCCCTGAACTAGCCAACAAACCAACCAACCAACCAACCAACCAACCAACCAACCAACCAACCAAAATGACTTCAACTTCAAATCACACAAAGCACCCCCAAATGCACTATTAAATCACTAATAATCATCTTAAAAGTGTTTCCTAACGTCTCTCTGCTAGCTAACGTAGTGAATGGGCAGATCTCTGACTACAAACTAAGGAAAATATAAGAAACTGATGTTCTGGGATGGATAAACCTCATCTAAGATTAATTCAGATTGCACAACCCATTTATAACGCGCAACCACATCTTATTTGAGCCAACATGTGCACAGAGAAACATGTTTGCACTACACTTTAAACTCCGTGAGAGAATAATTGCGGAAACAGGTTTCATCTTGACTACAGACACAGGTATTATTCAGTACTTCTGTGTCTGCGATGATGTAAAGTGGCAACACATTCAAATCCTTGCATCTCTCCATCATTTACGACATCAGCTGTCAATCAGGTTAACTTGGTCCAATAAGAGGGCCGTTCTCTCCTCCACAGCATTTTGAAAGGTGGAAATGGAAAAAGATGGAGAAAGTTGCTCGAGGGAGAAATGGGAATCTTAACGGTGTAACAGCAGCGTGGTGGAGAGACTTTACACACAGAGACCAGACTGCAAGGCGGTGAGACGGCGTTCAATGCAGTGCTTACCTGTAGGTAAACATCACACTGGTTATGTAAATGATCTTAAAAAGACATCTTAAATGTTAAAACATGTGCTACTGTATTACTCACACTTGTTAATGCTGAGGATGTCAGCCTGTTCTGTGAGGAGGAGACACAGACCCTCCATGAGCAGCAAGGCCTTATGGTAGCGCTGAACCGATGCTTCCCCCTGATGAAACATCTCATCTAGAGCAGCCGCCTGCACCTGTAAGACCAGGTCACTTCTTAAATACACTTTTATAAGCTCAAATCTACATGGTATTTGCAATAGGAAAAAGGCTGAATAGAAAAACAATCTGACAAAGAACTAGTGTTATCTAAGTTTATACAAGGTGAGAAATATTTTACAGCGGAGCATGTAAAAAATTCCATTAATTTTCCAGAGCCTGGAAGTCACAATTTCAAACATTCCTGATATTTCTAGGCTATTTACCATCTGTACAGAGTGGCTAAGGAGGAGCCTCTCTGCGGTGATGCTGTTGATGTGGTCCATGAGTTTGTGTTTACGGGAGAAGAATCGCTCCAGTTGAGCACTCAGAGAACGGCAGGACATCACACTGGACTTATACAAGTCATTCAGCCTTCTGACCACTGGAATAAAAAAAAAAAATCTCAATTATTTGCACGTTGGACACTGAATCTCTAATATATCTTAGTCCCATAAAGCACTCTGGGTCAGTCTCTCTACACCAGGTTTTCCCAAACTCGGGTTTA